CGACTGTCTTTACTGCTACGCGACAGCACTTCCAGCAGAAAGGTTTCAAGTCTGCTCTTCCCTGCCCTCTGTGCTCGTAACCGCCGAGGAGCCTAGTCACAACGTCTGGGGTTATTGGTCCGGTGCGAGTCGAAAGAACTTTGAGAGAGTCTCGGGAAACGAAAGTGGAAAGCGAGAGTGACAGAGAGAAAGCACCTCCAGAAAGAAGGCTGGTGCTCGGCGGTGACACTAGAACGCAGCTCCATATGCGCATGCGGTGATACGCACACGCGGAGTTCTGCCAGGAGCCGAGATGAGGGTCGAGAACGCCAAAGGCCGCCTCCAGGAGCTGGTGCAGAAGGCGACCAAGCAGGCCGCGCCGACTTTCCGCCGTGTCGAAGTCTCGTCAAGCCATGTCCCGTGCCGTCCCTCGCCGCCTCGCCGTCTGTTGAAGCTATCAGCTACGCAGGTACTAGATGGTACTCGTTACTGGGAGCGCATGGGGTGACGGAAAGCGTCCTGTGGCGAATGGGGGGGGTGGGAGGCTGCGCGGACGGATGACGGAAAGCGCCTTTGGCGTCTTGGAATTGTCGGGCGAAGCCAAAAGCCGTTGGGGGTGGGGGGGGTATAGGAGGCTGCACCAGAACATGGGGGGCCTGCTTCAGCATCATCGCGAAAATCCGCACTGTTGGGACAGCATTCGGCTCCAACCGTAGCTGCATCGCATAACCCGCGTTTTCAGCGGTATTTGCGGCATTTGGCGATGTTCTTTAATTCTTTAAACAAACTCCGGCGCCCTGGAGCGAGCATCATGCGCATCAGCCTTGCCCCTTGGACGGCCTTGGGGTGTCCCGCACGCACGTCTTGTCACGGTCGCTTCGCGCAACTTTTTGGCAACACCCGGCCGGACCACTGATGCGCATGATGGTCGCCCGCATCATCAGCATCAGCTGCACGCCACGCTATCTGTTTGTCTGTCTGTATATCTATGTATCACTCTGTTTATCTATAGTATCTATAGTTGTTTGTTCTCAGCTGCACCCACATCGCCACGCTATCTATTTGTCTGTCTGTATATCTATGTGTCACTATGTCTCACTCTGTTTATCTATAGTTGTTTGTTCTCAGCTGCACCCACGTCGCCACGCTATCTATTTGTCTGTCTGTATATCTATGTATCACTCTGTTTATCTATAAGTGCAAGGGTGTTCGCACCCACAGGCAGTCAATCAATCTATGTATCCTTAAACAAAGCCCTCGTAGATCTCTTTCAAGAAGCATGGCTTTCGACACTGGTGCTCACAAAGGGTGCGGTTCGTGAGTAGTGGGCATCCAGCCTCAAGCAAACAGCTCAAAACAAGGAGAAGTAGGGTCTTTCGATATCCAAGCTCTGGTTTACGCACGCAGACAACCATGCATGGCCCTGGGCCGCTATTGTGCTTGTTTCCGTTCCAACATGAGCAACACTGCTGGGTTACTCCTGTGCTCGTTTCCGTTCCAGCATGAGCGCATGCACGCTCAAAACCATGCATGGTGCTAGGCCGCTCTTGTGCTCGTTTGCGTTCCAACATGAACCGCCTACTAGGTTCGACCACTCGGCTCGATTCCGTTCCAACGTGAGCACATGCGCGCACACAACCATGCATGGCCCTGGGCCGCTATTGTGCTCGTTTCCGTTCCAACATGAGCAACATTTGGTCGTTTCCGTTCCAGCATGAGCACACGCACGCACTCAGCCTTGCGTGGTCCTAGCCCGCTATTGTGCTCGTTGCCGTTCCAACCTCAGCCCCTTCGACGTCCACCTACTCTGCCCGCCCATGATAGTCTCATCAACTCGGCAGCATGGTGCTGCGCTTTCCGTTGTCTCCAGCTGGTTTGCAGAACATCGGCGCCTTATTTCAGCATCACGAGTGTCCCGCGTTGTTGACAGAGCTTTCGGCCCCAGTAGTTTGCATCGTTCAATGCGGGTTTTCAGCGGTATTTCCAGCGTTTCGCTGTGTTTTTTCTGGCAATTTCCAACACCCCGAGGCCAGCATCATGAGCGTCAGCTGCACCCCTTGGTCGGCCGACGCGTGTCCGTGCACGCTTCTTGTCGCGGTCGTTTTGTGCAACTTTTGGGTTACGCCCGGCCGAACCACCTGATGCTCATGATGCCCCCGCGGCCTCCCCCTGGGCCAGGATCATGAGCACCAGCTGCGCCCCTTGTCATTGTTGTCCCTAGCTGAGCCATCTGCTGCTAATGATGCACGCTGGGTGCCCCCCACACTACGGCATCGCCGACTGGAGCAGTGTATCCCTTGTGCAGTCGTATCGTATTATGTCTAGGGCCGCGCCTCTTATTGTCTTCGGCTGGGCCATATGCTGCTTATGATGCACGCTTCGTGCCCTCTGCATCCCAAGCACAGCCGGGAGAGGGGCATACTACGGCGTCGCCTACAGGAGCAGTATATCTCCAGTGCAGTAGTGTTATGTTTATGCCTGTGGTGTTTGCGTCTGCTGACAGAGGGAGCCAGTATTTGTATTTCTTTCCTGTAGTTGTTGTTTTGCTGTCATTGCACGGACCCAGGAAGCCAGTGAGTGACTGAACCCCGGCCCCCGGCACGACAGCAAAAAACAAGCCCTTCCCATGCAGCGACACTCGAACGAAACGTGTCTCTACGTACAAGAAATCGGGCTCTAGCAGGATCATTCGACTTGCGATCGACAGCTCTCTCGTTTGCTGTGTTCCGCCTCACCACTGTCTCCACGGATTGCAGACAGTGCGATGTCTCACCAAAGTCAAACTCAGGTGAAGACCCGTCACGGAACCCGAGGGGGAGGGGTCTTTCTTTTGGCTGTTGCAGCTTGCTGCTGTTGCCTTCTGCAGCGCAAACAAGAAAGACAAATCAAGTAACTAATGAACGACGGAAGAAGGAACGAAAGATGGAAAGAAACACCAACACGAACAACGAAACAGTTAACGAACGGCAGACAGAAACACTGATCCCAAACAACAAGAAATCTTCATGGAGCCTTCCCAGCACTGCGAGCATTGTGTTTGCTCATCGGGTGGGGGTGGGGGTGCGTGTACATTGTTATCATCATATCATGTAGTATTATGCCGGTAACTAAAACCCAGTATAGTATCATATAATATGACATATAGTAACGGAATTTGGGAGGCAAGAAGCGGAATTTCATCGAGCAGTGTACAATAGTATGGTATTTTATAGCATAACGGCAAGCCGCCCCCTCGCCCGCAGATGCTCCGTCCCCCTCCCAACCCCCCCACTCTTTTCAGCCATGCGAACATGCTTAAAAGAATGGCCTGCCATCAGTGGACATTCCTTCATGAAGTGAAGCCTTTCATCCCCCAATATCTTGATGCAAAACAAGTAAAAGACCCCGCATTCGCTGGCTCCGCCGGCTCGCCGACCGCCACTGCCGCCGCTGCGGGAAAAAATCCAATAAGAACTTCCCAAGCAAATTCCGGGCCCCATGTATCTTCTCGCTGACCGACTGTGCTTGAATTTTGTTATAGACAAATCCTTCCTACACAAAGGCTTCTTTTCGGTCACAGACATATCTTTTTCTTAATTTGTTTCTCTTATAGTTACTCGGTCATACGTGCTAACTAAGACGTGCCATGACGTGCCTATTGAGGGGTCCGTGTTACGACCGTACACGGAAGTACGAGACCACGGAACCCGCAACGACAGCAAAACAAAACCCACCCCGTAACGATTGCAAATAAAGATGAGCCCCGGGCAACCCGCAACGATAGACACGAAAAAAAAGGCGCGAAGCGAAAAAAGGCGTGCCGGCGACACGACAGAACAAAAAAACACACCCCTGCAACGACAGCAAAGGACAACGACAGCAACCACAAATAAAGATCTTGCCTGGACAGCAGCCAGCCTTCAAACAAACCCTCCCCTTCAGGGTGCACACAACAGGCGCGAAAGCCGAAAGCCTGGGAACTCGGTAGTCTGCTACATTGCAGTCTAGTATACTATATAGCAGAGGGCACGCGTATCGTGCTTTGTCTGTCCTTGCTGAGGTGCAACCTGCCCTGCTCTGCTCAACTGTTTCCCATGCTGCTGCGACAAGCTCCGCCACCCCTCCTGAATCTCCTTGCCTTCACCACTTGCGTCTGACATGACTCTGCGCTTTCCGTCGTCTCCAGTTGGTTTGCAGTTGCTTGGGTCTGCAGGTGGTGTTTGGGGAGCTGCCTTTCCAGACAGAGGCTAGTGGTCAGCCTGGTCAGCTCTAGCCTCTCCGGTGCAGGTGCTGAAGCGTGGCGATATTCTGTACAGTGTCCGCGTTGAGGGGCGGCTTTTCTCGGCCGAGGCCCGGGTGCCGTGCATGCACAGCAACGCGGTCCAACAACAGGTCTTGGATTCTCGGACCATCCGAGGTTAGACTCAAGCGGGAGCTGCAAACCTTGATGCCGATGTTTTCGGAGCCCCGGCTATTCCATGGTGTATGTGTGTGTGTGTGTGAGAGAGTCGTCATGTTCCGAGCAATCACGAGGAAGCATTCGAGGGCGAGGTACAGCAGACAAAGCAGAAGGCTGAGCACAGCGCTGCCCAGAAAGCTCTGAGTGCACTCTGCAGTCTGCAGAGTGCAGCGGAGCGGACTGCAGAAGCGAAGAAAAGTGGTTTCCTGCTTTGAGACAAGTGGTTCTGGGCGACAGAGCTACCGTGCGCGAGACGCAGCCCACCCCTTAAATTCAATGCTAGATTGCTGCTGGCCTTGGAAGGGCCACGCAGGTCCACCAACCGTGATGTGTTTTAAACCGAAGCAGGGCGGATCGTTGCCAACAGTCTGCCTCGCTTCCAGGCACGAAGATTCAGAGGGATGCCATGGCCTGTACATCTTCAGCTCCAACCCCTGTCCTTGCGAAGACCCGTCGTTCTACACTTAGACCTGCGGCACCGAAGAGAAGGGGTAGCAGCTAAAATGCAAGCTGTAACACAAGCACGCTTCGCACAGCTCTTGCATGTACAGCCGCCCCTCCTAGTCCACGAGCCATGCCATGAATGTGGTACATCACCGGGCCGAAGTTGGCACAGCGTGCGGCGCGTCATGCATGGCAGGGCGATGGCAAGGAGGAGAAGATATCTGACGCGTATGCACGGGCTGGAGATCAACGCTACCCTCTGGATGTGCAGGATTTCCTTAAGCTTCTGCGCCGCAAGTGTGGCAGCGTTGTTCGGGCGTGGCGGGTGGCTCTGGACAAGGATGGGGGCAGCGAGCTGGAGTTCTGTGAGTTCGTAAGCGCAGTGCGCCAGATGGGTTCAGGTTCAGGGCAGAATGCGCGCAGCCTCTGGTTCAATCTGGACGTGGATCAAAGTGGTACTCTGAGCCTTTACGACTTGGATCCGATTGCCGCACATGCCCTGGACAAGTTTCGTTATCTCTGCACAAGTCGATGCCTGCCTGGATTCTGGATCAACCTTCCAAGCGTGCAGCTTTAAGGGTTTGTAGCCTAGGAACAGGCTTTGGCGTGTCGTATGCAGTTGATCAGTGTTAGAACTGCATTTAACGCAGACAAGGTTACGGCTCAATCAATGCAGCGTTTGAGCAGCTTCTCGATACGAGCAAATCTGGTGTCGTGACCCTGGAGAACTTCATCGAAGCGGTCAGGGACCCTTTCGGATATGAGCCAGCTGTAGCCGAAGAGCTTTTCAACTGGCTGCGATCGCGGCCTGGGACCCTTTTCCTCCGCAAGAGCGACCTGCATTTCCTACAGAAATGGGAGGACGCGAAGCGTGACAAGAAGGAGAAAGCTGGCACACTACATGTGGGCTGGATCAACCGGGACCCATCTGCGGCAGTTGAATATCGGAAGATGGCGGACAAGCTTGCTGAGAAAGGCGGGCAATCAAAGATGGAGCACCGAGTCTCCGAGCACTTTGGCTGCCACAGGAATTAGATTGAATTAGATGCTGGGAGCCACACGGCTTCGACCCTTTGCACTCAGGACGCCGTTCACTGCCACGGCGCTGGCCATCGCCACGGCGACAGAAAAGGCTCAAGGGAACTCGGCGAGGTCCTCCGTGGAGGCACAGGCACAGCCGGCCCAGCCGGCCCCGCCGGCCCAGCACAGGCCGGAAACTCCAGGCAAGAAGGGCGCTTCAAGGGTGGAGGCCCCTGCAACGACGGCGGCCATTGCCAGTGCGCAGGAGACAGTGGGTTGCTACGCCATGAGACTGGCTTCAGATAATGAGAACAGCGCTACCAAGTTCTTGAAGTATCCGTGGTTGCAGAATCGCGCAGATCTTCGGAGGGTGCTGTCTTTCTTCACATTGAGGCTTCTGAGATCTCCTGAGCAAAGAGGGCGTAGAAGTCTTAAGCCAGTGCCTTCGACTGGGCAAAGGTATCTTCTGGACCGCTTCGGGTCTCTAGCAGCTGCCTGGGATGCAATGGAACCCGGAGAGGTGGGAGAGATTCGCCACTTGGGCTGGGAGACAAGATCAATTCAAGGAAGGGGGGCGGTGATCAGTCAATTGGAAAGTGGAATGCAAGAAGTTTTGGCTGCTAGTTCATGGAAGTTGTCATCAGAGTGTGGGGCATGGGCTGGTTGTCCCGAGACTGCTGCGTGCGAGAGCAGCTTCTGCAGACAGTCGGCAAAGGCAAGAGCGCCTTCGAGTACGTCGTGTGCTTCAAACTGGGCAGCTTGGTATTGTTGCCTTGGAGGGGCGAGAGCGAGAGAGAGAGAGAGAGAAAGAGAGAGAGAGAGAGAGAGACAGAGTCTTCCCTGCATCATAACCTTGGCGAAAGAAAGAGAGAGACTCTCTCCGTGGCCGTTTTGGCTCAAAGTCTCTCACCCTTGTATGAACCCGGCTGTCAACCGGGGGACCTGGCGAGGGGCTTGAGTCATTCGCCGCGACGTTTGGCTCACGAGGGCCTCAACCGGAGACTTGCCCTTGTGATCGCTCGGCTGTTTCCCGAGTCGATCTCGCGGGGAACTGAAACGTAGCAGTAGGGGAGGGCAATGTGCTACCTCGACGTGGAACACAAAGTGATCCCTCTGACCAAGGTGTTCTACAACGGCCTGCAGGAAGGGAACCTCGTGAAGACGCTACCCGAGCAAACCTCTTTCACGGAGGCGACCAGGCAGAGACGCTCCCGAACGAGACCGCTGATTGGAGCAAGGTGGCAGGGACACCGATGGCGAGAAGTACACCAACAGCGGGACAAGAACAAAGAGCAAAACAGGGGAATCAGGCTTGGAAGGGATGGGGGCACCCGTGAGTACCTCGAGGCACACAGCAGCCCCAAACCCAGGTCCTCTGCGTGGCGCAACCACCAAAGACAACTACGACGAACCTCCCGGCCAGGGGACCCGGCCAGCTCGACGTGGTGGAGACCAAACGGGAATGGCGCACTCCTTTTTGCAGAAAGGGGACACCCGCAGCCGCGCGCCATACAAAAAGTGACCTGGGTAGTGTTAGCAGGGCACCAGCAGCGAGGCGTCCAACACAACCTCTTTTGACTGTCTTCCTTATTAGCCAGACTTGCAGCTGTGTCCCAACAAAGTCGGTAGCCGCTGCCAAAGAGGCACACGCTTTCAACAGGGAGGTACACGCCCTTGTAAAGACCAAGCCCATTCATTCAAACGAATGGATGGGGCAGCGCAAACGCGCTTGACGGGAGGACTGCTCCCGCCCCAAGCCCCAAGCAAAATAAAGCAAAGAGAGAGAGAGTCTTAGCCTTCGAGGTGGGTTGGGGGTGATATTGGTTTGTTGTGGGTGGGGGGCCGGTTAGTCAGGTCGCTCTTTGTCAGCACGCGAGCGAAATCGTGTCGGGGGGCGTAGCTGTCGCGACGTCCTTGCGGCTGTGCTGAAGCAGAGAGTTGGCCTCCATACTCTCTAGCAGAGAGAGAAAGAGAGAGAGAGAGAGAGAGAGGGGGAGAACTGCAGAAAGAAAGAAAGAGAGGGATCGCAAGCAGCCAGCCTGCGGTGCCCCCAGCAGCCCGGCAGCCTCGCGGAACAAGGGGGGGAGCAGCAAGAAGGGGCAGAGGAACGAAGCAGAACACCCAGCCCGCACCGACTAGCCCAAGCCCAAGCAGCCGCCTTCCAACGGGCGGTCAGCAACGAGACCGAAGCAGCGGCAGACCAGGCAATGGACAACATTGCAAGGGGGGGGACCACCCAGCATGAGCCGGCACAGCCAGCACAGGGGGCACAACACCCACAAACCCAGAGTGGAAGCGGTGCAGAGACACATCACCGAAGCCATGCAGCTGGCGGGGGCAATAGGGCTGGATGCCGCCTCCAATCACCTGGCCGCAGCACTCACAAGCCTGCAGCTTGACCAGCCGGGGGGAGAACATAGGAGGGGGAAAGTCGCCCCGCCACCACCCAACGGTTTCGAAATAGCGGCGCTGGTTGCAGGGGTGATGGACGAAGCACCGCAGCCACCCACCACCGGCGAGCTCTGGAAATCCTGGAACTAGTCCAAGCGGGGGCTGCGTTACTGCAGGGGGCAAAGAGAAGCCATAACTGGCAACAGACCCACTGGGCGGAGGACGCAGCGGAGGAGGTGGAAGCTTTACTGCACACCCTCATTACCACCATGGACCCAGAAGAGGGGGTAGGCAGCCTGGCCACACTACGCAACTTGCTGGATGAGGCAGCAAAGGGGGTGGCAGTGCTGGTGGGGGAATACCCGTTCCGCGGTGGCGCAGACCAGCTGGGGAGGCCAACGCACCCGGCCGACGTCATAGGGCTCCAAGCAGGGGGGGTCGAAGCAACGCAGCAAGGGGGAGCAGACCCACCGGACCCAAGGCTGGTGTACGCAGCCAAAGCCCGACTCCGAAGGCTAACCCCGTTTTTGGTGGGGGACGTGCAGCGGGAAGTGGAGCAGGCCCTGCAGGAGTTGGTCGCATGGACAGTGCAGCACTGGGGGAAAACGACCTCAACACGCTGGGCATGACGCAGCTGGATGCCTGGGGACATGGAGACCAACTCGAGCACGGGGGCAACGCGGCGGCCAGTTCTACCAGAATGCCTACCCGATCCTCCGAGAGCCCGCCTGACAGACCAACACGTGAATGGGGAGAACGCCGCCGTAGTTTTACGAACCCCAGCTCCCTAGACCAGGACGACTGACCTCGAAGCCAGGGTCCGAGTAGAGGTTCCTTATTGGGGGTTTTCAGAGGCCGGGGAGCTGGGGGGAGCAATAGCCGCGAGAACAGGGCAACAAAAGTGTTGTGATGATATGCTGTTAGCGGAGAATTTAGCCTGCATAGCTGATACGGTCATGAGCAGCTGTTGTGAAGATGCGGCCGTAAACAGAGATGCCCTGGCAGCGTTCAGAGTAGCAGGTTTGGGGGGTGGGAAGGCGAAGGCAGTGCAGTTGCGCAAGGTTCAGTTCGGGATGAGGTGGGGAGGCAGGTCAGGTGGGGTTAAGTAAAAGAAGTTCCGCTGAGTGGGGGTACAGTGCCTACTGCAGCGAGCCGGGGGGTGGAGCCCGCCGGAGAGACGGAAGGGAAGGGACGAACCATCATGACCGGTGGATAGTATTCTAGCTGCTGTCCTTGCGAGTTGGCTGTTTCAGAGTACGTTGGTGTTTGCAGTTACAGCGTGTAAGTCCCGGCAATAGGCCACTTCCGTGTAGTTGAACTGGAGAGACCTCGGAAGACCCACGTGCAGCTTGCAGGTTTACCAGGTCATGGTCTTAGATGTCGGTGGTTCGGGGTATTCGAGCTCAAGTGGGGGAACGAGTCATCTCTCAACCCCGGAAGGGGCCTTTCGACCTGCGGTCGTCGCGGACCGTTGAGGGGGTAGGCCTTCGGGCCAGGGTCCGCTTGGGCCCAGACCCCTAAGCAAGCAAGCAAGCAAGCAAGGGAGAACCCCCAAACGGGCCACACAGACTTTTGGACGTGCGGACTGTTGTCGGGATAGGCCTGCGGGCCAGGGTTCCCCAAGGACCACACCCCTCAGTCAGCAAACAAGCAAACAAGAGAGAGGGGAGGGGGCTTTGAGAAAGAAAGGAAGGCGAGAGACTGAGCTGTCAGTGTTTTGGCGACATCCCTTGATGATGTGTTCTGCATGCTTCTACTCCTGAGCCCCTCGTCAATCCTGAGCGTGGTGCTCAAGTACAAGACCCACCTATTACCTGTTCGTGCATGGGAGAACCCCAATGTTAAATAATCATCGTACAGATGTCCATTTGCAACTGTTTCTGGGGCTACGCGGGCTGTTGGTAGATGCATGTCGAACAATGTGTTGCCATTTTCATCCAGCTCCCATTCATCCTACATACACTCCCCTCGCAGACTTTTGTTGGCCAGCCGTCCGGGGCAACAGCGGACTTAACAGATGTTGTTAATGTCTGTCTTTCCCTTGTCGTATGTCTGCAGATTTAGCTCAGCCTGTATAATACTGTATCATACCGTTGCTGCACGACGTGTGGTCCAAAAGGCGCACACCGGCTGAAAGCTGTTGCTTTAGAGTTTGGTTTCCTACAGCCGGCCAGTCAAACGGAAGGACACGTGCTACGCTGAGTACATGCCTCCATCTCTTACTTGCATTTTGGGGCTTTGCCCGCCTGTCATCGCGAAGTTTTCTGCCCAGAGCAGTCATGAGCCCGTCAAAGAACGGTTTCGCTGCTACCGTGATGCCACGAGTCTGCCATTCAAGTTGCTATTCACTCTTGGCCCCACCACATGTGGACGATCCTCAGGATTTTCCTAGCAGGGCAAGTTTAAACAGTTGTCACGACGGAGAGCAGCGGAGACGGAGCACTGATGAAAAGTGAAGTTTAGCCAGAGGGGAAGAGAACTTACACAAAAGGACAACTTATCGTTTCTGGCCTTTCGTCGGCTTTCCGCAGAAAGTGTTGTTGTATCAAGTGTCCGGAAGCCCGTTGATTCCTGCGAGGATACTGCAGGAACACTGATGCACGTCGGCTTTTCGAAGCCTTGCCCAAGAAGGACGGACACCCAGACAGCAGGGACAGTTTAATGGTCCTTGATTAATTTAGGTCGGCGCCGTGCAGCAGGCAGAAGCGAGAGCGCGCAACTCAAGAATACTCAAGATGCCGGAAGAACCGGAACAGGCTTTGCACCAGCGTTTGGTGTGCACCCCGACGTGGAACCTGCCACTGCAAACCACAAGAATGACTCCTGAAAGAGCCGCCGACAACGGCAGGTTGCACATTCAGTCGCTGAGTAAAACTTTCACAAAGCGAAAAGACTGCAAGCGGTGCTTCACTTCCTTAGTCTCGGGTCGCGGAGGACTCGCATCGCCTGACCTGGCGGGACCTCGGCCTGAAGCCGGATGAATGGCTGGGTTTTCTTACGCAGAAGAAGTGGCAGATGCCAGTCTGAACTAGCCTGCATCTGACCGCACGAAGCTGCGAAGCTCCCTGTTCCGCCGAGGAAATCCCTGCTGATGGTGGAGGAGCGTGTGGGCCAGGCAGCTGCTTTGAAGGGTGTGAAACGCATAAACCGTCAGGAGATGAAGAAGTGCGACGGAGATGGTGCTCGGCTAGCCTTGGAGCGACACTACCGACGATCAAAGCTGCACGGTCATCAGCTACAGCTCGAGCATCTTCTGCTGCAGTTGGAGTTGGTCGGAGGACATTATAAGAACTGGAGAGATGGCCGATCACTGCTTGGTGCAGAAGTGTTGTCGCGACCGAAAGGTTTGGCGAGAAGCCGATGCTGCACAACCAAGCTGAGCTGCCAAAGTGGTGCCGCCCCAGGTCACTACCGGGAAAGCTGATTGTCTAGAGCTGCTAGACGGGGGGGGTGTCATCTGATCTGCACAGGTCAGCTCAGAGTCGCCGGCAGCGTTCATTGGGCACCACTGCAGCTGCCACATAGTATCGAGAGATCTTTAGTCTTTTTGCACCCTTCAGAAACGGGTCAGAGCCGTGCAAGTGCACACAAGAAGAGGCATGGATCCTGCAGTCCGATATAACCGAAATGTTTTACACAAGCCAGTCAGAAGGCACTGGTGTGCTTCACTTCGAGATGTTTAACACAAGGCACTCGTGTGCTCTCCGCTTTGCGGTTCATAACTTTCGCATGTTCTCTCCTGCATTCCTCTAAGAGGAGGCATCAACTCCGTGCGGATGCCCAATGACTGATGGCTGAACTCGTGGCTGTCCCGTGCCTGGCGCTCGCTCTGAATGCCGCGGAAGAACAAATGCCCGATCGAAGATCTGGGGTGTCTTGTTGAAGACTGGATTGCTGCAGTAGTCAGTAATTCATATTTACCTTGGTATGAGGCTGGCTAACGGTGTTTCACTAGCACCATTATTAGGGTGGTAATTTGATCAGGAAAAGCTGAAAGGAAGCTTGCTCGTGTTGAATGAGCGAGTGCCTGGCTGGCAGCAAGCCAGAGCCATAGGTCCAGGCTGAAATAGGCAGCACAGGAACAGAGTTCAGTAACACTCCTCTGAGAAAGGTCCATGTGATTCTGAAAATCTGCGACCAGATATCGCCGACAACCTTGTGCCCAAGTCTAGCTGCATTCCGCAGCTCCCTTTGGTACACGGAATGTCCACATGGTATTGGTGGGTAAGATTCACAGTCCACGCGCCTGTGCATCCCAAAGCGGATTGCAGCCTCTTTGTAATTCACAGAAGCCCACCTTACAGTAATTCACATAACAGCATTTTTTCCGCTGGTCCACGGGGCGTCATGTCGTTTGATACAGGCGGTGGCGCAGGCCTGCTAGTAAAGACAGGGAATGTCTTATGCATGCAGTACGAACGACTTGGCCTTGTGAGTTCCAGGGTCGGTTAAGATATCTACATGGTCGCGTGGTTTTTGAAGTTCTGAGCTGTTCTGGATTGTTGAGCAAGCGCGGCGCAGGCAGGATCTTACTGGTCAGAATACTAAACTTACTAAACAGGGTTTTTAACTTAATTCGAACTGAACTGTGATTCGCATAGCTCGATGAGATCGGGAGATTGCTCGAAACCATCGACGCCCTTCCTGGATGCCCCAACCATGCAGACCAGCCCATGCTGCCGCTTCTGGCCTCGCTGGCTCGCAAGCGGCAGGCATCGGCGCCTGCCAAGGTCGGTTTTGATTTTCTGCTGAGGTTCCCACGGGATCTGTGCAGGCTTTTCCAAAGCAAGCTTGGCAAGCAGGATGGCCAAAGCAGCCACAAGGATGGCGGTGATGCCGTGAACACGAAGAAGACGCCTTTGAGGAGGGGACCCTGTGCACGTTCAGTTTGAGATAGCTCTGCTGTGTTTGCTGAGCCGCTGGCCCGTACCACAGCTAACAGAGCCGAATTACCTCCGCTTCTGATCCTCACACTGCGGGAAGGAAGGCAAAGGCGAAGATGAAAGCAAAGAGCCTTGGGCAGTGAAAGTGCTGCGAGAATTACCACGATCAGGAAACCTAAGAGAGCAGTGGAGACTCATCGTTTTCTAATCGGTGATGTCCATGCATTGGGTCCGTTCGCTCGCCTTCCACCTCTGATGTCGGCTCGAGCTTGGAGCATAACACGGCCAACCAGCGCTCAAGCGAGCATCAGTGAAACACCGCCAATCTCAAAGATGGTGCGAAAGAATGCCGCCAAGAGTGGCTCGCTCTTTCTGGCACAGAGAGTTGAGTGTGCTGCTGCAGTTGGCAGTGGCTTGTGTCTATCAGTCTTGCTCTTTTCCATTGCTGACCCTTCCAGGGCAACTCTGGTAATCGTGCATCTGCCTGCCGGTCTCTGTCTGTGTCTGTCTGTGTCTGTCTATGTCTACGTGTATGTCCTTCCTGTCTGTCAGCCACTGTCTGTCACTGTCTGCCTGCGTGCTTGCCTACGTGCCTGTGTGTCTGTGTCTGCCTGTCCGTTTGCGTGTCTGCGAATGCAGGCATGGGTACATGATCATAGATGCATGTGTTCGTTTGCTTTTGCGATGTTTCCCCTGCATGCGCGCGCAAGCGCGCGTGTGTGCGTGTGTTTGTGTGCCTCTGTTTGTTCATCCTTTCATTAACAAACAGTCTGTACACGTGTCGCCGAAGTTGCTTTAAGCGCTGCTAGGTGATCGTTCCGACTCTCCGGAGTCCACGCGTGCCTCTGACTCTCCCAGCGAGGCAACGCCCAAGGCTCCGGTTGGGGTCAGGAGGTGTCAAGAGAATCAGGATAATTCAGGCATGCGCAGTATTCCGGCGTCTCAGAGAGGATGTCTCTGTTGATCTACTAGTGTTACTAGTGGCTACTCGGCAATGCTTGCAGTGCCTGGGATTGGGATGGCTTGGGTTTCGCTCGCAAAAGTTTGGAAGCTAGAGCGATGTTGGGAGCCAGGGTGCCACTCCCGAGATTCGCGACGCATGGAGCATCAGCATCGCTGCACCAGGAGGACCAGAAGCTTGTCACACTCGATCCAAATCTGTGGTACATCCACGGCAACTCTTACGACCTGCGCCATGATTTGAAATGAGCTGTCGATGCGATCAATGAACTTGCTGTAGTCTTGCCGACGTCTGAGGCATGATTTCGTGGATAAGCATCCGGGAGGACGCTTTGCTATCTTGACAGGCGAGAGCATATCGAGCAATCCCACGCTTCATGCAAAGCCTTAGCGCATCATTACAGACTTGGAGAAAGTACATTGGAACTATTCAGATGGCGGCGACATATTATTCCGGCCTAATTAGTCGGTTAATTTGTGTCAGCTTGCAGCTGTGCTGTGTCTTCGCGTCGTGCAGGGCGTGGCCGTGACTGCACTGCCCTTTTTGAATCGCCGGAGCCTTAGGCGGAGGAGTTGAAAGGGATCGGGATGTGGGAAGAGCCTCGCCCCTCCTCCGAGGTATCATCCGTGGAACGACAAGCACAGGAAGGTTCTCAAGGCCCACGGGGTGGCTCCGCCAGCCCCGGATCCTTTCTATGAGGAGATAAAGGCCTGGGGTGTGCACCGGGACTCTAAATTCGTATCGCGAGAGACAGTGCGGGATGTCAGGATGACTTGTAAATTCATTGAAAAATCGTGATTGCTCGCAGCCAGGAAGGAGTTCGGAAGGCCTTCCCCGGTGGATGCGGCAGCACACGCAGCACAGCGCAAAGGAATACTGCTAAGTTATGTTTAAGTTTAGCGACAGTGCTGTATTTGAGCCAAAGCCAAGGAATGCGCCCGCACGCGTTCGTAGTGGCTCCGCTGCAGAGATCTGCGGAGTTCGGGATGCTGGCACTCGCAAGATCAGCTTGCAGCCAGCGCTGCTAGATGAATATTCAATCGGCACTTGATGCTAAGGGACTGTCGATCATGTGGTGCATCATGCCTCTTGGATTGGTGAGTGATAAACACACGGAAAGTGTGCAACGTCTCGGGGACTTCGCTCCAGGGTGGTCGAGGTGACAGTGTCCAGACTGTCAGACACTTTGCCTACGGCGTGCATGCGAAGCATGCATGGGGGATGCGGATAAAGCTCACACTATGGGAGGGCCCATAAACGCGGGTCTTCTGGTGGTGGGGATCTCCAGCACGCCAGGGCTCGGGCTTCGACGAATTGACGAGTTTTGCCTCGCATGCAGCGGTCGTGTTTACCGTGCCGCTAAGGATGTGGCTGTTTTTCGTTGTCCGTACTCCCCTGTCCAGCACCTTGGATGGTTGGGCAAGTTGGAAATGTGCAACTGCAAGACTATGACTGACATGCCCAATGTGTATCTGAAGAATTATATAGCTCGTATTCGCTCCGGCAGCCAATCCAACTAATTGACGCAGTCGCAAAAGCGTGCGAGTCAACTGTGGTGTGTCCTGCAGGCCTGCTTGCCGGATGCATTGTCGCCACCGTGGGCACTCGTTTCTCCCATGAGGGCGGCCACCAGCAAGTCAGCAAGAACGATGCCCAGCCGAGATAGCGCTGCGTGTTGAGCGTGTCTGGATACTTCTACTTGTTTTCAGGTATCTCCCATGGTGTTTAGTCTGATCTAGTTGCAGCTGCCTCTAGCCATGGCGGAAGCATGTTCTTGTTTGGCCACCGTGGGGGTGTTTCCATTGCCAGCCACGTGACGACAGCAATGTTGCAACAATTGTGTTCGGCGCCCGTGGCTCGCAGGAATGGGTCAACCGCCTGTGCCTGTTTGCGGGCTTCTTCCTGGTTGGACCTTCGCTGCTGCAGCCTCGAAAAGGGGGACGAGGGGTCTGGACTGTGACCTTGTAGAAGTAGGTGTATGGCTTGGAGGAGCAGCCCTCAGTAGGCGACTTTACAATCACTGTCGTCTTTGCGGTGCAGTGGTAGGTCGTGGATCATGGCCGAAGGATTGACTAGTTGTTTCTTGCGAAAAAGAGCTTGGCTGACATCCAAGACCCAAGCTCACCACAAGGTGCTGGTACTACCAGCACGTCGTCAGCCACCATGTGAGCACAAACCAGGATGGGGATGCTGAGAAAGACGTCGACGTGGAGTCTTGGACGCTTCAGCTTGCGCAGTTCCGCTCGTTCATGTACTCCTTTTTCTAGTATTGATCGTTTCCATTTTATTCCACAGTATTAAGGAGTACATCTGGATCGCTGATAAGCTGCCTGGGTGGATGAAGGCCTGTCAATGCCCACTTTGCGATTGGCATGCACGCAGGCTGCCGAGTCGGTAAATACCCTAGGATGCAGTACATGTGCACTTGTTCGCCGCGGCCTCTTGTTGCAAGCCGTACTGGACAAGACGACAGTTCAGCACTCGACTCTCTAAGCTGCAGCCACTGGCTTCTACAAAGGCGCTGTCGCTGCCTGGCATCTTCATTGGCACCGTGATCGAGCTCGGTGTTAAGCGTGCCATGGCCCAACGCAGGAATCTGATTCGGCTGTGTGAGCGTGGGTACCAGCTACCAGACCTAGATAGTTTTAAGGGCAGGTGCCAGGTATCTGGGCTGGTGGCGGTCACGAGCGGCCGCGTCCCTAGGCATGATCGTGGACCTGCTTATCCGTGGTCATGTCGCTCGGTTGACACAAGCAATTTCCACCATAGGCGCGTGGCGAGCTCGTCATCTGTCGGCCCTCACCTCAGGTTGGCGGGCACAAAGTCGACTACCGTCGCCCTGTTGCACAATGAAGCGGTTGACAGCAACTTTGGCTGTGGCGTCCGAGGGTTTCATATTTGTACATTGCAGTGTGGCACACACTTGTTTGTGCGAAGTGACAACTCATTATCTCACCTAAACACCGAATCGGTCAGGGGATTGACTCACCGATTCAATTCGAATGATTGTATACTCCGTGGCCATTTTGGCGAAAGCTGTTACAGCTTGAGAAAATTTTGTTTCAGTCCCCTCGGATCACTCCTCGGTCATAGCCGCTCCTGGCGGCCAGTACTTCGAGTTCTACTACGACCGCTGTTGGCGGCCAGTACTTCGAGCACTACGGCCTCTCTGTCGGTTGTCGACAGTCTGAAGGAATCGCTCGAAGAATTTAGCCGCGAACAAGTTCTCGAAGACTTTCAGATCGAGAAACCCGAGGATGTGACCTGGAGCGCCTGGAACAAGAGACAGTCACGACAGATACGAAAGGCCATCGATCAGATCTCCCAGTGCCGGACTGGGGACGACATCGTCAACTTGGCGGCGACCTTGCTGAAGCCGCCCAACCTCGAGGCCTTCCTGTACCTGCACATTACCAACCGCGACGACGCCGAGGAGCCGCTGACGGTTCCCTTTGAGGTCGTCGAGGCTTCCCTACATCCCGATTCTGACCATGTACCTCTTCCCGCAGACACCGATGCTGCTCTTCTTGCGCATGAGACCGAACTGCATAATAATCAGCATTTGGCAGGCATTTTTCGTGATGATTTCGGCATGGAACTACATAATCCCGAACCCGCTGCATCTCAAGCTCGAAAACGGAACTTCGAAGGGCGTCTTAAGCCCGCTACCTCGACTTTCATCGATTTGGATTAGTTACCTCGTAGCCATGGCACACCCCCGATCGGACTCCTGGCTCGACTTTCTCTGCGAGGGATCGGCAGTGACTATCACGGCGCCTGTTCCGGACACGATGCTCCGAGAGTTCCCCGAACGAGTTCGAGACGACAGCAGAGTACCTGTTTCGGAAATACAACGACAGATCTGCCCCCGAATCCTCGAGTCTAAGAACTGCAACATGATGAATTGTGTGCATCTCCACCCCGATTTCCTTAACAAGGTGTGGGTGGTGCCCAATCTCATTTGCCATAGTTGAGAAATCACGAGCCCCCAGGCCCTTCTTATGTAGATCATCTTGAAGCAGTTTCACTCGAAGACGTTATCACCGATATTTGGCTCAAGACACAAAAGAAGCGTTATTATCACTGTGTCTTGGAATCAGAGATTGCCCTGCAATTAACTGGTTAACAGCCTCAGCTTTGCTTGGTGTAGGTAGTGTAGGAGCCTA